GGTTCTGGAATTGCTCAGTTACTTTATTAGCTTACACCTGCTAGACAGAATCTCGCCAGACTAACTAACTCCCAGAGTCTGTACTAAACATTACGAATTCCTTAGGGTGGTGCCAGTCTCATCCTCTTTGCTTTCACACGCTCAGGCTGTGGGCTGAGGAGATGCTTGAAATTCTTCTCCCCATGACCTTGAATCTCCTCATACAAGTCATCCATCACAGAAAGTATGCAAATTTAGTGTCCTTTTAAAGGTGCTGACCATGGTTTGAGCAAGATAGCTATTCCCTCATCTCCTAATGCTCAAAACCCACTGGAGACTACTGTCTTGCAGTTTCCTCATGAGGAGAACTGTCTGGAGCACTTGTGGGTGATCTCCTGTCCTCTCTTTGTCTTAAAAGGTTTGAAGAGCCAGTCTACTCATTGGCTCTTTGTTTTTGCTGCAATTGTCAGCTCCACTTTTCACAGAGCCATCTTCAGTCTGCCGTTTCTTCCTCTGGAAGCCCCAGGTCCATGGCATTTCTGACCTGGGGTGGAGATTTAAAAATGTGGATCATTAGCAAAGGGACGGTATTTCACCCCAAAGTGATAATTGACCTTTTTCAAGGGTTTTGAGTAGATGTTGAACAGTAGGGTGGAGAGAATTGAGCCTTGGATCTCCCTAGAAGTGAGTATTTATCAGGCTAACCTCTCCACTGCTCAGGAAGTTTCAGAACCACTGCAACACAGTGCCTCCAACTCCCAACCCTCACAGGTAGTCTAAAAGAATATTGTGATCAATAATACTGAATGCCGCTAAGAGGTCTAATAGGATCAGAAAAGGTGCATTCTTCCCTTCCAGGTAATGACAAAAGTCATCGTCCACCAGAACAACTAGTGCCATTTCCATCTCATGCCCAGATCTGATTCCAGACTAAAAGGAGCCTAGGTAAACAGTTTCCTCTAGGGCAACTGATTCCCCACCATCTTCTCAATAACCTGACCCCCCAAAGGAAGATTGGAAACTGGGCAGCAATTATCTAATACAGTTGGATCCAGAGAAGGGTTCTTGACAGAGGGGCACATCCCCACCTCCTTAAGGATAGCTAGCATCACCCCATCCCTCAGAGAACATTGACTACTTCCTGCACCCAGGTGTTCCTCACTGGTGACTTGAAGTCGCCAAGAGGGGCATGGATTCAACTCATTGGTGGCAGAGGTCACGTTAGAGAGCATCCTTTCTATTTTGACAGAGTGCAAGGGAACTGCTGGTCGGAAAGTGCTCAAGTACCCTTTGGAATTCCTTTGGATCCACAAGGTGCTTGGGACAATATTAATATGCCCATCCACATGTGGAACTTATGGGCAGCAGCAAATCTCAGCTGGACCAGACCACTGCAAAGGGCTCAGTCTAATGTCTTCCATATTCAGATCATGCACTCTCCAACAAGACAAAACGTTTGTCCTTAGCAAATTTTATGAGTCTTCCCCTTCCTCTAACCTATCTCCAAGACATGGAGATTGAAGATCTCCAAGAGTAGAAGATGGGGAAATTCCAAAATCAGGCAGCAAGGTCCAAGCATCAAATTGTTGGTCTCCCATTGTCTGCAGTGGCTTGCCTAACACCTCTAGCCATATCTTTTTTGACCTATCACTACAGAAATTTCCCCTTCACCCTTTTTGAGGCCACACATTTCTCTACATGGCTAACAAGTTCAGTACCCCCACCTAATATAACCCCACCACCCATAACCATATACAGTCAGGTCCAGAAATATTGGGACATCGACACAATTCTAACATCTT